GGACGTGCGGTGAGCCCAGCATCCTCCTACGCCGCCATCTTCCTATTTCCTTATCTCTTTTGGTCAGAGCTCAGAACTGTGAAAGAGCCACAGGATACCAAAGTTTTTTTAAGGAAAATACAGTTAGGAAAAAATAAATTTTATTAATTCCATTAATTTCTCTATTTGCACATTTTCCAGACTTGAAGCCAGTTGATACATAGAGATCATTCTCATTCTTTACAGCTGCAGAACACTCTCTTGTGCCACTACCATAATTTGTTCAATCACTCTGTATGTGGACATTTATTTCCAATATCTTGCTGTTATAATTAATGGTAGTATAACCTTACGCAAGTGTATTTTTGGATGGTTAGAGTTCTGTCTTCAGGACATATTTATAGAAATGGGGATGGTGGATCAAATGATAGTTATGTGCAGTGTAGTGTTATTAGGTAATCCCAAATATCCCTCCAAAGAGGTATTACACATTTTCACACCCACCAGCAATGTATGAGAGTGCCTGTTTTCCTTCAGCCTTGCCAGTTAACTTAATATCCTTTTAATATTTGTAGAATATCTACTGATGTCACCTCTCTTGTTCCTAATGTTAGTAATTGGGTCTTCTGTTTGTTTGTTTTTTTTTTTCATTATCATTGTGGCTAATATATTACCAGAATCCCACCAAGGGCCAACCTTGCAAGCAGACCTTTTTAGGCTAGCAAATTCAGGTCTGCTGTGTTAACTCTTCTACACATTTGGTGAATGGTGTTAGAACAATTACCTAGTCATTTGGGAAAAACAAAGTTAGACGAGACTCCAATACATATGAGCAAATTCCAGGAAAAATAGGTATCTTAAATATTTTAAAAGATATGTGAGGTTAAAGAGAAAGAAACACTCATTTACCTAGAATAAATATTCTCTTGTGTTATGTAGAGGAAAATGGACATAGATTCTTTCCATGTAATACCAGTATCTTTTATTAAATAGTCTGCCCTACTCCAATGGTTTCCAATGTCTCCTTTGTAGTGTATGGAGTTGGTTTCATATATGTTTCTCAGGTAAATGCTCTCTGGTGTTAGAAATATACAGGTTTGCTTATTGCAGTTTATAATAAGCATTGAGGGTTATCTGAAATGTTATATCCATAATTCACATATGTGATTGGATTCTCCAGTTAATTTTATCATTTTATCATATCTTTATTTTTTTATTATAAAATTTATTGTCAAATTGGTTTCCATACAACACCCAGTGCTCATCCCAACAGGTGCCCTCCTCAATAACCATCACCCACCCACCCCTCCCTCCCACCTCCCATAAACCCTCAGTTTGTTCTCAGTTTTTAGGAGTCTCTTATGTTTTGGCTCCCTCCCTCTCTAACCACTTTTTTTCCTTCCCCACCCCCATGGTCTTCTGTTAAGTTTCTCAGGATCCACATAGGAGTGAAAACATATGGAATCTCTCCTTCTCTGTATGATTTATTTCACTTAGCATAACACTCTCCAGTTCCATCCACGTTGCTACAAAAAGCCATATTTCATTCTTTCTCATTTCCACATTAATTTTATTATATCTTTAATATGATATCATTATATTGACTTCTTTGAAACTCTTGGAATTTCAAAATAGGAAAGTGTGTTGGCCAGGCCAAAAAATATGTCTCTGTGTTGCCAAAGCCATTTTGTTGTCTTTCATGAAGACTTTCATGATGGTGCTTATTACC